TATACAGTTATTTGTACTGCTTATTTTATTGTATATATTACAATATCAAAAGATTTTTGTATTTGGAATTTAAAGGTTAATTTGTTGGAAATGATTCAGTCTTTATTTAAAGAATGACATTTATTCATTCATGTAATAATTTTGTTCATTTTTATGAATCAATGGATTATGTTTTAGTCTATATGGAGTAGTAGACATTGTTATATTTCATTGAAATCACAATCATTTCAAATTTTAAAGCACTGAACATCTATTTCATTCTAGTATATGATTACTGAACGGTGCTTGTCCACAACTTTATGCCCAGGAATGGGATTCAAGATCTACGTTCGCTCATACGAACGCTTAGTTTCTAAACCACTGGAATAGTAATAAGCGGTTTATATTTGTAATTCGATAGGACACATATAGAGGAAAGCATCGAACTGCGTCACAAGACAAGCTCTCACTTAGAAACTTCAAGGTCAAAGGAGAAGAGAAAGACCAAAAACACGTAACTCCGAGAAATAGAGACAGACATGAGAAGAATGAACAACGCTTAGATAGAACTAGAAAAGAAGGCCTATGACACAATGAATTGGAGAATGCTGATCGGCAGCCTATGCTCCATTCGGGGTAACAGGAATAAGTAAGTATGTAACTTGTACCTTCAAGATATTCATAATCAATTCTTATATATTTTCAATTGTAAATTTTAAACATACCATTTAATAATAAATACATTCAATTCAACTATATAATTGCATGCAACTTCATTGTTTATAAATAATATCACATATCAGAACTATTCTAAGATTCGGTATATTCCAAATTTTAATATTCCGTTAATGAAAAAACATAAAGGACTTGATATTCATAAATCATCTTTTTTTTTTTACAAAAAAAGACCTAATATGAATATCAATAATGTGAATCTTCATTTTACATTATTCTACTTGTTAAATAATGATTAATGATTACTTTTCATTTTTACCCATGATTTTAAAACGATCTAGTAAGTGTTATACACAGAAACAAAATATAAATTATACTGTTTTTTTGTTTTTTTATTTTTATTTTTGGTATTTTTACTTTTTTATACTTTTGTATAATAGTAATATCATCTATATTTGGTTATATTAATAGATATAAGTAGTAGAAATGAAATTATGTAATAGAAGAGGATTGAATTCAAGTGAATAAGAAAGAAAATAGAAAAGAATTAGAATGAATAAAAGAAGAATTATGAATTATATATAAAAGATAACTGATAGATGATGTGAAACTAATTGTTTTAATGTATGATGTATTATATTATACAATAGTATTATGTAATGATGATTTAAATAATAAATTAGTTTTTCCTAACTAAAACTTGTTCACTATTAGTAAGATTTTATATTGTAAATTAACTTTTTATCATATTATGTAAGTGTTATGCTCCGATAAAACATAATGAATGGTAACTTTTGGGATCCATTTATGAACCAATACTATACGTATATTTTTATCATATAACTGTTAAATAACTAAATTATTCATATTGATGTCCCTCTTATTATGAGCTTTATTTTGACCTATGAACTATTACTATACGATTTACCGTTCTTGAATTATGCCCGGTCTATTAAGTACTACCTCCCACATTCACAGCCACATTTGGCCAAATTTTGTACAAATGTTGTTTTCATATTTTATGCTACATTGTGGTCTGTTTGATTGGTATATAAACCTAGTATGTTTGGACTAAATGATTCATATTGCAAAGACTGAGATTGGTGTTCTGGGCTTAACTGTCTGGGCTAAGCAGGAGGCTGGACCAATCAGGACTCTAGACTGCTAGTATGGGTTTTACGCGTCATTGATATTCGATCGACAATTCACTGTTCTCTAATTGGCAGTATCATTACGTTATAGAACTAGCAGGGCACTTAGGCCACAAGTTATAACAGTAAGATTTTTAGTTTCATATGTTCTCATCAGTTGTAATTTGATTTAAATACTGAGAATTAAGGAAAATAACATAACTTATTGCTTATGTAAATGTTACTATAAAAATGTATTATCAATATTTAATAATATATGAACTTTTCAGTACAGGATTGTGGAGATTATTATGTGTTTGATTGAGATCATGAACTGATTGATGTTGAACTACTATTGAAAACCTGAAAGCACTGAACGATCGTTTCGTCCTATTGTAGGTCTCCTTAGCAGTGCGCATCCACGATCCCAACCTGCGGGATTGGAACCCAGGGCCTTCAGTCTCGCACGCGAACGCTTAACCTCTAGTTCACCAAGCTCGGCGACATCTAGTGGTGTTAATGTCTGACCTCAACCAATCCATGAAATTGGGTGACAATCTTCCATTGTAATGAGGTAGATACTTATCTATATCCAACACGGATTAGCTCCACTGATCACAGTTTCTCACTAGAACTCCGAGAATTCCCTCACGAAGCTAGTCACTAGTAAGCACTAGTGAATGGGCACTGCCGAGGAGTCCCACAATTGGACGAAACGGCCATCCAGTGCTTTCAGGTTTTCAATGGTGGTCTAACATCAAGTGAATTTCTCTCACCGATAAGATCATGGATTAAAAGTCAATATGGTTTTAGTACTTTACACACAATGTTTTATTAATGATGATTTTCTAGCAAATCATAATTTTAATAAGAGATAAATGATAACTATCAGTGGAATTCAGGAAGTAAGATTCACCCTATTTGAAACTTGTCATCTAGATGCACTTGCATTTTAGAGTTGACGTTTACCCTTAGACTAGAATCCAGTATCATTTGCGTCAAACGATAGTGAGTTAAGCATTTAGCTACTGAGTGAAGAAAATCACTGGCTTGTGCATCAATTCTGAGATTCAGGTAAACTCAGTTAACAAGTCCTAAATAGAATGAATCTCACGTCCAGAATTCAACTGCTAACTACCATTTATTTCTGATTATTATACTTTGAATATCAAGTCAATTCGCACATGATTCACATATGCCGATAAGAGATTGATTAATTGCAGTCCTAAATATCAATGGGAAGAGTCAAACAATCAATATAAATGAATAAGTCAACGTTATTATTCGTTTTTTATTACACTTATTGTTTGTTTAATCTGAATGACACTAGTGAACATCAGTTATCATTAAAAAATATGACTGTACGCATAAGTCTGTTCCATAAGATACAGATGATGAAAGCGTAACGGACCAAACATATAGTTTTAAATTTCATGAATTGACATAGTTTTGAATTAGATAGAATTTAATATTTCATAGTAAATTAGGATCTCAGTAGACTTGATGAAAGTGCAAATAGTTGACTTCAAACTTTTAATAGCGACTGAACTTAGTTGCTTAAATGGAAATATTGTCAAGTGTTCTACCGACCGGACTTTTCTGTACTAGATAGGTAAGAGTTAGTGTAGTGAACGAGAACACCAGTGGGGACAATCAAACGTATTTTAATAACATTGCAGAATATATGAGAACCATAATGTAAATACTTCATTTGCAAAATATATATCAGTTGTCTCATACTTGATTATTCCTTCGTTTTCATACCAGTCACTCTATTCTCGTTCTCTTCTCTTCGATTATCTCAACATTCTGCAGCCAATCATTTGACTTCCGATTAGTAATACATACTACTTATATCTGACGACATCAGTTATACGAACTACAGTAGCGATTCACACAACTGTTTGGATCTAGGTTTTGGTTTAGTTGTAACCTATCAATATGTGTAATTTTATAAGAACTAATACTTCAGATAAGTTATTGCATTACAAATTCAGCCCGTTAATAATTGATACTAATTTTCATTCATGTCGATAAGTCACATCTTTTATCTAGATGAACCAAAGATAGGTTTCAGTTGTTCAATATTTCGTATCTGAGAAAAGATCAGCTACTAAAATATTATAGTTCAATTTTTTTGATGATTAATTATGTGAAGAGTTGTTTTGTACTTACTAACTTTCTGTTCTTCGTCAGTATGTACCAGTCTGTTCAGGAATGGGAGTTGGTTAGAAATTATCCGAGTTGAGCGAATTTTATTAACGAATGACGCTCATTACAACTTTGGCGACATCCTTTAGCAAAGGAATGTTAGTTGGCTAGCTTCATTGAGTAGCTATGACAGAACCCAATTTTGATTAAAAATACCTAAAGTTCTGAATGTAGCCAATATACCATGTTTAGTCAATGTATCTTCACATGATCTCAACCCTAGTAGCTTATACACATTTTTCTAAATGATTTTCTTGCCCTCAGAAGATCCGACTAGGTGTACATGCAGTCTGAAGGCTCTGATTTCTTCAGCTCTACAGAAAACTTAGTATTATTCGTCTAAACATTTATATAAAAACTAAAATCTCTTTGTATGTAAAGTTATTCAGAGGTTGTCTGAAGGAACTTATTGTAATCAAACAGTATCTTAGACAAACAATGTATCACATATATTACCATTTTCATTCATATACAATCCACCTATGTATGTATTCATCTCTAACAAATTTTCAATTTTCTTTTCATATAAATATATAATGATGATCGATTTCAACCTATAATGGCGGCCTGCTTAAACATCTGAGCTACTTTTCCTGCCGTCTAGATATTTCAACAAGTTATCTAATTTTATGCCTTTCAGATAAGTGTACAATTTTTCATTGTGTAAGTTACAAGGAGGTCCAATCAGAGATATTGTAATTGTCGCCAATATACAAAGAAAAGAATGTACATTATTTAGATGTCAATTGACTGGCCTGCTAACTTTTAACTGACGATCACTCAATATTTATGGTTAAGATCAACCAAGAATCAAGACAAGAAATACTTTGTACTTCAAAAATATAATATTGAATAAAGTCACTAATAATAATAATAATAATAATAATAAAACCCCACTAAAACCTATAAACTACTTAATACCCCCCTAACTACAGTTTAAAAATCTTATACAATGAATTCTCTACTATTGATCATACAATCTTTAAGATGAAAACTAATCCAAAACTTCTATAACTTTAATCTTTATTTACAATCACTCATTCATTAATTAATAAATAAATCAATAAATAAGTAAACATTTATGAATATTATTTTTTATATTGAAAAACACCGAGACAAACTAATGAAAATAAGACAATAAATTTTTTTGTTCATAAAATTACATGGTTACAACATATTTTGTTTACTTTTATATAAATAGTTTGTCATTACACAAACATAATAATGATATTATTATTATTATGATTGAAAATATGGCTTAACTATAGTTTATAAACGAACCAATCACATAAAAGATAATGGATCTTGAATTTTAGCGCATAATTCATTCATTCATTCATCCATCTATTTGACTAAATAGCATTTTACCATTATAGTTAATATTAATTCATAATGCAAAATATTAAATTTAATTCATAATTTTATTCGTCATTAATTATAAAACATGATTCTAATTCTTCATCTATTTGATCTCACATATTAGATAGATGTTTAAAACATCACTTTAATATCATTCAAAGATCGTTCATTCATGATCATCTCATCAAGAATATGAATTGAATGTATATATGTGCATATATATGTGTGTATAATGAATAGATGATCAATTGAATTTATTCAATATTTAATTGTTCATTTATATTAATTTTTTCTTGATTATTATCATTTGTTTTCGTTAGTATTAATGAATTATATAAATTATTTTCATTCGTTATTATCATTTTATTAATTGTATTAATCATTTCATTTGTATTATTGCTATTATTATTATGTAAGTGACTTAATAATGTATTACATAATATATGATTATATTTACATAAACATTGTTCTTTATGAATTACATCATTTTGATGATCATGATGACGATGTAATGTATTATTATCACTATTATTATTAGTAGTAGTATTAGTAGTAGTATGTTTTATTCTTATGTAACATCGTATAAACATTTCAAATAATTCACCTAATGATATAATAGATAAACCAATCCATATAGAAAATAAACCACCAGTTTGTGATAATAAATTAGTTAATGATATCACTTCTTTTTCTTCAACTTTACGTACATCAAAATTAGGACGATTAATTAATATAGCTAATAATTTACGTTCTAATACATTTAATTTATCTAATATATTAATTGCATCTAATTCATTACCTAAATCTAATAATTTAATTGCTTTATGATATAATATAAATTCTGTATTATTAAATATACCTAATTTTTTATTATATGATGAATTTAACCACGTTAATTGCCAACTTTTAGTTGGCCATGTTGATATTGATTGTTCTGTTTCATAGGAATAAAATGAACATGGTATTTTACAATTAGGTAATTCACCATGTAAATAATTTTCTATAATTGTACGTTTACACATCATTCTTGTTATAAAATTATTTAATTCATTAATACATAAATTAGTGATATTAATATTATTATTATTATTATTACTATTATTATTATGATTATGATTATTGATTTTTAATAAATCATTACGATTACAATTAGATATATTAATAAATTGTAATAAATTAGTACATGGTTTATAATTTGTATATTCATTATATGGATATTCAATTGAATAACAATTACAATAATGTATTATATCATTTTGTATAGTTAATTCACGACATGCATATTCTGAATAATTATATAACATATCATATAAATTTAAATGTATTGGATGATTTATAGAACATCTACCATATGGTGGCATTTTTTGTATATTTTCTATAATAGATAAACGTAATTCAGTTAATGTACCAGGTTTTAAATTAATACTTTTATCATTAATATTTGGTAATGTATCAGCCCCATGTATTGTTATTAATGCACCAGATAATTGTGATTTCACTTCACCATGAAAACAATCAATACAATGAGCACGATTTAACATTTCATCTAAATAAATATACATTTCTATATTTGTTGTATCAGAACGTAAATAACTAAATGGTTCAAATGTAGCACAATTTAAATATTGTGCATGAATAAATTTACGCCATATACCATTACGTTCACATGGTGCTGCTACTGGTTTACTTCCATTTAAATATGTTATCTATAAAGAAATAAATAGATAATAGAAAAATGAAATATAAGTTATGTATATAGTGAAAATTATCATTATGATATTTGGTAAAAAAAGAACGAATTGAGTGAAGAAATTTCTTTTCAAATAGTATTTTTATCATGGCTCTACACTAATATATATATATATATATATATATATATATATATATATATCTTACTTACTTACATCCGTTACTTCCCATGAAACATAGAACACCGATCAGCATTCTCCAACTCACTCTGTCCTGGGTCTTCCTTTCTACTTATATTCAATTGTTGCCCATTCTTCTCATGTCTGTCTCCATTTCTCGGCGTAACGTGTTCTTTGGTCTTTCACTTCTCCTTTGACATTGAAGATTCCAAGTAAGGGCTTACCTTGTGATTCAGTCGGGTGCTTTCTTCAATATGTGTCCTATCCATTTCCAGCGCTTCTTCCTCCTCTAAACTCTAGTTAATTCTCTTCCACAGTAGGTTATCAGTGTCTAATAGTGTCTGGCCAACGGATCCAAAGTATTTTGCTCAGACAACTGTTACTAAACACCTGCATCTTCTGCATGATGGCTTTCAAAGTTCTCCGAGTTTCCACCCCGTACAGTAGAACTGTCTTGACATTTGTATTGAAAATTCTGAGTTTGGTGTAGGCTGACAGACAGTTGTTTTGAGTGGCAGGTGTTCTTCAATTGTAGATATGCTGCTCTTGCTTTGCCGATTCGCTAATTCACATTTGAATCAGATCCACCGTGTTTGTCAATGATGCTGTCCAGATATGTAATGGTTTTTACATCTTCCAAAGTTTCTCCGTCAATTGTGATTCGATTGGTGGATGTTGTGTTGTATCGAAGAATCTTGCTTTTCCCTTTGTGTATGTTGAGATCTACTGCTACTGATACTGCCACTACACTGGTCGTGTTCTCCTGCATTTGTTGTTGCGTTTGCGATAGAAGAGCCAGATCATCTTCAAAGTCTAGATCGTCAAACTTCATCCTAGATGTCCACTGTATCCCATGATTCCCCCAGATTTTGACTTCTTCATGATCCAGTCGATCACCAGGAGATAGAGAAAGGGTGAATATATATGATTTATAATTATGAGTGGACAATGGCTTGACAAATAGTCACTTAATTGAATTTAGACAAGTTGAATAGAGTTTTCCAAATTATTTGTAATATGTAATCCAGTTTACTACTTGGTTTGTTTATGTATTTACATAGTAAAATGTTGTAAAACATTTAACTGGTTGAATAAGAGTTTCTCATATATAATCAACAACCAGAATAATGGAAGACTATTATGCTTTTCAAAAGTAATCATGATTTTTTTGTTTTATGATACACCTGAAACTTCTTTGTTGATGTAGTTATTAAATTTGACACATTTAATGAATTTTGGCATAAACTCCCTACACAGTTAAAAACCAGAACTAATCTTAACTAGACTATCATGAAAACCTTGAAGCATTGGATCGACGTTTCATGCTAGTATGAGGCTCCTGAACAGTGAGGACCCCAAACTTTTCACTCGGGAATCGAATCCAAACCTCCGGTTGCGCATTCGGATGCTTAACGTTTAGACCACTGAGTTGTCACTGAACTGTTTTAATGTTTAGATTCAATGAATTCACGATACTGCACATTCTTCATTCATTATTCACGCTGGATGATTATCTCACACCTGACACGGACTGAGTTTCACCGGTCATGGTTTCCTACTGGAACTGTTTTCCAAAGTCCCTTGATCACTTTTCTGGTAGTTACATTCACATGTCTGTTTTACAATCAAGATTTTAATTAGTCCGATTATTTTGATAATTAATTTAAAAGAAAAATTTTGATCTACTACTTATTTAATCATTACGGTATTCGCAGACTCGTTATAGTGCATGTGGCCCTAGAATATATGGCTCCGATTGGATCGTTTCTGATTGCTGTCGAAACAAACATTCCAGCTATCCTCGTACAGAACTATTGACTTAATTCGCGTTAGTGAATAACGGAGTCAAATAAGTCAAATACGAGAGTGTATTTAAAATACCTATATTATATACAATCAATGATCGGAAAGCGAAGGAAAACAAAACAACGCGCGATGGAGAATGCAAGTCAAGCAACTCGATTTAACCAAGCGTGAATCGATATTTATAGTCAGATAAAAATATGTTACAGACATGTGATGAGTAAAATAAGAAATACACACACACGATCATACAAAAACAGTCAAGGTAGTTAATCTAATAATTAACAAGATCAAAATTTGACTGAAGAAAAATGAATAAATTGGCCTGTCTGGAAGCTTGAAAAAGCTATGTGGGTTCGGCATATTGTCAGCCTCTACAACTTCTTCACTAGTACATCTATCATGTGTACTAGAAATAGTGTTAGTTTTTCTACTGTATTGACTGTAGTGGACAAAATGTTTGAATTAATAAACATGGAGTTTAAATTTCACTACCAAAATCAAGACTAAGATCCAAGTACATCTAGTAGACGGGTTCCAAATAATACAAAACCCGTATTTTGAACAACGCTGTTAAACCCAAAAACATTAAAACATATTATTATATGTCATATTGATGTATATATGGAACAAAGAATGATGAAACTTCAATCCTGAAATTTCAACAATGGGAAACGAATACTTCCATACACTATCGAAAGTCTATAAACATTCCATATACTTAATTACTTCATTTAAGTTTATTTTATTCAGTTCTTACATAAATCAGACATTTTAATAATTTGTATCACATAAACTTACACGAATTCATTTTATCCTACAATGTTTCTTAGCAGTGATTTTTTAAAAGATGTCCCTTTTTCCCCTTCAAATTCTGTATACCATCTTTGTTTATTCGCAAAACCATTGTTGGTATTTGTCTTCTATTATTATTGTTATTATTATTACTATTGTTATTAAAATTTCATTACTGACTATGATTGTGTAATCAGTTAGTGTAACAATAAACCTTTCTACTTCATTTAATAAGTAATTCTTTTGAATATTATAGTTAGTTTAAATACTCTCTTATTTGAAGTACTTCATTAAATATTCATTGTAATTCTTAGTTATTCATTATTAAATAATTGATCATCAGTTGTTCGAATCCTCTATGAGATTCGTATATTGTATGCTGTTTTTTTTACAAAAAGACAGTCATCAGAAGGGGTTTTGTGAAGATTTTAGTAATCTCAATAGTTGAAATCATGAGTCAATTGAAGCTAAATCACTACCATGGAAAACCTGAAAGAATTGGATGCCGTTTCGTCCTGTTGGGGGACTCCTCAGCAGTGCACATCCACGATCACGCCCCACGAGATTCGAACCCAGGACATACCAGTCTCGTCCGTGAATGCTTAACCACTAGACCACTGAGTTGGCCGGCATCCAATGGGGTTAATGTTTAACTTCAACCAATCCCATACTACAATGAAACTGCTGTTCAGTGCTCCCAGGCTTTCCATGGGGGTCTAGCTTCAACTGACTCATGATTTCAACCATTGAAAAAGAAAGTCGTCTAACCCAATAGCTCTCTTCTTCATCTGTATAAATGCTAACAATCTGTACCATATAATTGTATATGGATAACTATAAACAGAGTAAACCTTTAAAATATTCAATAGAGTGAGAGTAATAATAAGCATAGGTTTTTCATAAGCTTGAATTTGAGATGTTTTCACAGTCACTTTATCAGTTATTGAAAAGAATGATGAATTATTAAGAGAGTAGAGGTTTGTTGAAATGTTTCTTTCATGATGTTCAATAAGGAGAACGAAGATTGTTGGTTGAAGACAATTTCCAGTGTGATTGTAACTTATGGACGATCTTTAAGTGACACCATAGTAAACTTAGCAATCATTACCTACTAGATAATGGTTATAAACCAGTGTAAGAAATTAGAATTATGATTTATAGTTGATGTTTAGGAATTACTGACATCAGCCATAATGTCAAACGTATGACTGAACTTTGTGCCAAAATCCAATACTCATTATCTTGGTTCATCCATAAATTGCATTTTCGTTTAATTTTCTTCTAGATATTTTCTAAAGATGCAAGATTGAAGCCGTAATTTATTTATTTACTCAAAGTAGTGTGGTGTGGGTTACTTATATCCACATAAGTAGTATGTGACGGTGGTCAGGCATAGAATGTATTTCAGTAGAAGATCGATAAGGAAGGAACGGAAACTGAACGCAATTTGTATGAAAATGCATGAACAATAAAATCTGAGACAATGGACTGATATTTGCAAAGGAACAGTCAAATTCGAGACGATGGATTAATATTTTGAAAATTAACTATTTACTGTGTCATTATATATAAAAATTATATTTGAAATAATCTCAGCGATTGAAATTTAAATAACTTCAACGTTTCGTCCAGCTAACTTGTCTGGACCTCTTCAGAGTAATAATCAGAATCGAAATTTTGATTCTCTATATTCGGCGTCCAATTCTTGTCAAACTATTTGTTCTAATCTTGACGAATATCCGTATATATTTACTGTATGGTTCTCAGATTTTAGTGAGATGCTCTGTAATTTCCTGTCAAATACATTCGATTGTCCCCACTGGTGTCCTGGTCACTACAGCAGTATCAGTATTAATGTTAGTAGTTAATATGTTCAGGATGATAAAATAACTGTTTCTCTTCTTTCTTACGTTCAGTTTATTAAAATGTTATGTTTTATAATTAGAAAACCATGTGGTGTTGTTTTACTTATATCATCCTATTGTCATTTAGAACTGCAATTGATCAATCTCTTGTTGGTATATGTACAACTTGTGCGGACTGGTTTGATATCGCCTTGAGTCATAAACTTTATAAGACACTAATCAATTGCAGTCCTAAATAACAATGGAAAGATACAAGTAAAACAACACCAAGGGAATTTAACCTTCACTCCATTGCACAAACAGATGGCTATTAGGACTCAGTGGCTAAATAGAGAACATGTTGACGTTTGAAGCGAACGGTACTGAGTTCGAGTC